AAAAATGATATAATGATGATAATGATGATGTTTATAATAGTCAAGTAAGTATATATCATATTGAATCATACAAAAAGCAAAAATGTTTATAAATTATTAAATATCATGCATTTATTTGATACTCATTTAGGGAATATATAAAAGGATAATTTTATTTGTGGTTTTTAAGTTAAAAGAACATGAAAACCTCATATATTTTTCTATATTCAGTTAAAGAATATTATGCCCCTTGATTTATATCCAACTGATGATGAAAATGATGGTAATGAAATTGATGATGAAGAAGGGGACGAACTTCCAGAACTAAATGTGTTTATGGATTTTACCACTGTGGATAAATGGAACCTGACTGAAAATAAAACTGTTAATGAGATATTTCAAAAAAATATTTCAGATAATGCCCATGCAACAAAAAGCAAGAAGTGATTGACTCCTGCAGAAAAAGCAATTTTGAGGTATGGTGCCTCAAGAATTATAGACCTTTCATTCCACATGAATAAATGGTTCACTTTAAAAGAAAGGGTTTGTATTCACAGATACCATGAATACCGTTAAGGGGGTTACACACTAATAAATCAGCAAAAAATCCCTTAAAAACACTTGATTTTAATAGTGTGTAACCCTGTGTGACCTCCTTACGGTATCCGTGAATACAAACCCTAGAAATGTCCATATAAACGAATAATATTTGGGTGCTTATAATTATAAAATTAATTATTTATATGAATACCAATCAATATATTATATTTCAATATATACAAATATCTACCTTAGGTTGTCCCAGTGTTGGCAATTTTCAAGGTCATTTGCTATTTTTTTAAATGACCTAGGTCATTTCATATATGTAACTTATATTAAAATCATCACATGATTTGGTTATTTCAAAGTCATTTTGAGGTCATTTGCCAACACTGGGTTGCCCTGTATTTCAACCACACTTGATATAGTGCAAGACACCTAGTCCTACAACTTTTTATTGGCCTTGTAGATCCTTCTCTAACTCCAAAAATG